TAGAGTGGAGACCATCTTTTAATTGCAGTAATGGCCAACTACTAGTTAGCATACAAATGTAAAAAGGTTGAATGACCCAGGAAGATGTTAGATGGATATTTCCATTTTCACATGCTATTCAGCAAGAGACTGCCCATAGACGAACGATACCCTGTCAAATTCAAACTTCAGCTCCAGGATCGATGGCAGCTTATAAGTCCGGTCTGCTAGCCAATTTCCCATCTCTTTTCTCGGTTGCTGTTTTGGTTTTGTTAACTTTTTCGGTCGACACGGTCTACTCTAGTGTATTATTTTCTTGCTCACTTGGTATCAGATAAATATCTGAGTTCTGCCCATTCTATGCTGTTTAGCGCTCTGACAGCTTCAGTACAGCAAGGATTTTTTTTTTTTTTAGCAAGGATTTCATTCCCCTGTACTTGCCTCCAAAATCTTGTCAATTGGACGCTTCGATCTTTCATATCTAGGTGATCCACGGGATCATTAATCAGGATTCTCTATAATAGTAGAAATAGGATGGAACAATGACATGGCAATGGTCACTAAAGTACAAATGTAAGTACAATGACAAGCAATAGCTAACATAAAATTGATCTGCTACTCGTCGTCAGCTTCACGGTTTCTGCTAAAAAAACACTATCGATCGAGTACGGCTGCGCATGATAGATTGAGGTAGTAGGAGGACGATGCTCAGAGTATCCAAAGTACATAGTACTATATTTTCTTAATACCAATTGGGGCTGGGACCCCAATTGACAAAAACTTGGTTGATTGAATTATCATGTGAGAGATCATCATCCAAGATCCAATAGCAGATACTTGAAAAGGATCACAGAATGCAGATCAGAAGAGATAAATTTAATAATGGAGATGAGATGCTTTTCTTGATTTCTCCCATGCACGTAGATAAACTTATTGTAATTAAGACCCGTTAGTTCAATGGAGGCTCCAAAATAAGTTAAAAGCCTGTGATCAAATCGTACCTTCTGTAGGGGTTTAGGTACTTAGGACTCTAAGTACTTCTTGTTTAGTGGAAGTACCTCATAGTCATTACCGTCTACTATAGCAAGAATAGGTAGGGCGCAATAGTGATTGAATCTCATATTCATAAAGCAATAGAAATTTGGGAGATGATAAATGTCACTGCCTCAGAGGATCCGAGGCAGCAATATTTTCACGCGCTAGCTAGGAATTGAACGGGCTATTGGCTCCAATTCTAGGACGTATCTTCCATCTTGTCTGCTCAAAATCTGTCCATAAAGGATATATCCCTTTGTACAGAAAGAGCCAAAGCACGAGCTCAAGTAAAACTGAGCAGCAAATTGCACTCACAATTGGGGTCGTTTGTCAAACTTTTTGGTTACCTTCGGTGCCCAATAAGTACCTTCCAGCCACGGGCATCGATAGCAAAACTTCCTGACCTAATCCTCACCTCCTAAGAATTGTGATATTTTAATTTCAAAAGATTTTAAAATTTTATTATAATATATAAATAAATATTTAAATTTAAATTTGTAAAAATTTTTATAAAATAATATTACGAGATTTTGAATCAAAACAAATAATATTTTATAAATTAGATATGAATCTTCATTATATAAAATATTTTTTTGTATCTTTTCATTAATCAAGATAATATATATTTGTTGGTATCCCTCAATTGTTCTGAATCAAACGTTTGATTTAATCTATCCTTGGAAATTGTATAAACACTCCCCCACGCCCTTTCATTAATCAGGATAATATATATCTAGTGTTATCCCTCAACTGTTTTGAATCAAACGTTTGATTTAATCTATTCCTTAGAAATTTCTCAAGCAACATTGTTGCTAGGTGACAGGTTTTGAGTTCACACAGTTTGTTCTATTAGCAATCTTCTATCATGAAATTTTCCCATCGAGCCTGTAGAGTTGTGATGGTCCATTTTCGACTTGTCCATAGCAAAGATGACAGTTTAACTATAAATATATATATATATATATTATACAGTGAAAATTGGAATAGAAAACTGGAGAAAGACAAAGATACTAACTCGAAAAGCCTTATCCTCTCTAATCAATCAAAAGACCTGTTTTAGTCATCATCCTACTCCTCACGTCTTCTTCTTCTCGACAGTGAGTGACTTTCTTTTCATGCTTAAATATATATATATATATATATATGTATGTATATTGTGGATTAACAGTGTACGCATCAACCAACGACTTTCTTTGCATCTTTTCAGCCCCTAAAAAGAGCAATTTATGCTATGAAATTAAGAAACAACATAATTAAGAAAGTGCTTTATTATTTGTACTTTTTTTCTTGCACGTATGGGTAGATATGATTTCTGTTCATGAGCAATCACAGTGACATGGATTGTGGCGGTGCAAAAGGGGGTTGAGGGGACTGAGGGGCAGAGGCTGATGATATTGTTTAGGACCACGTGATCTTGTGGGCTGGCTTCGATCCCCATAAAGATTTTCGGTATCTCACAATAGTCCCCATCCCACGAGGTCCCTAACCATGTTTTTCTGCACGGGGGGGCCTTTGGGTTTGGCTCTCACTTATGATTCATCATTCATGATTCATGCTAGTCTTCATCACCAAGACTTTTAAAACCCATCATAATTTCTCTCTCTGAATCTCCTCCTTTCTCCGTGTTGTTTCATCATGAAGAAGCATATATAATGACATTTGAAAACTCATTGGTGGTGTTTTCCACAGCACATCCCTAAACAACTCATCTAGAGAATCTGAATTCCCCATCCCCACTTTTGACAAAATTGTACTCCTTCAACTTCATATAATTGCAATTAAAAATATATTTTCACTTTAGGTAAAAGCATATTTGTGATGAATACTAAAATCATTATATGATGAAGTAATGTCATAAATAATCTCTAAATTATAACGATATATTTAATGTTATATTTTTTAATGTAATATTTAAATTATAAATTTATTAATTAATAACATATTTAAAATTAGTTACATGTTTGAATTAATTACATTAAAAATAAATATTACTTTAATTAATAGATTTATAATTTATATATATCATATTAGATATTTTTAAAATTTAAATATTACATTAAATATTTTACTATAATTTATGTACCATTCATAATATTATCCCTTATATAATTAAATATTTCATTTAATTCCAAAAAGTTTAATGAATTTTCTTCACCTTGTCACTGCTAACGGTGGAAAACCAGGTTGGCATGAACTTATTTATGTGTGTTGAGTTCAATGATATTGACCCTATAGGAGTCTAAGTTCAAGCAGCATTCATGTTTCGGAAAATACAATGTCACTACTTCTCAAAAGTTTAGTGGAAGTATTGATCGATGACAACGGAAATTGAAGTCATGGATAGCTTGCTAGATCTTTGTTCTTTTGAATGGTGCATATTGTCTATTCATGGTTTAGTTATTACTCCAAATTTCCAAGTTATATGTGGGCATGCATGCGCATGACCCACCTTTCTTCTTCTTCCTCTTCTTTTCACTGTTTCTTCTGTTAGGTATAAAAACCTAACTATCACTGTTTTGGCATGTGGGGATGGCATGTTTAGTTGTTTTCCTGATAGTTTCTTGATGTTTATATCACTTAAAAACAACTCCAATGGACAATGATCTTTCTTGCATTTGATTTGTCATCTCTTTGTTCTCATTAGCAATGCATTTAATATTTTACACAATTTCATGTTGCACATGAATGTTATAACATTACATCTTAACAATATAGTTCAAGGGTCTGCTATATGACAGGTCTCCGTACCTGTAAGATCTTTAAGTCAAAGATTGTCTTTTGAATGAATGTATGTTTTTGTTAGTCTAATACTTGAATTCCAACCAAATCTAAGACCTACTTTAATTAATTATTTTTGGCCATTTCTTGCATTACAACATCAAAATTATGCTCAAACGCGAGTATAATTAACCTAATTTTCTCTTTTCTTCATATGAAAAAAATAAAAAAGAAACAGAAGATAGATGAAGTATATATATAATTTTCCTGATTTCATTCCTTCCAAATATGAAATTATTGCAAGCATGGCAATATTACATAGGAAGTGTTAATTTCTTATGTTTAATTTTCCCTCATATGTGATATGTTTTTAAATGCATGCGAGTTGCTTTAGATATTAGTACATAATTAAACTTAATTAATTGATGTTACAAAGTTTGAAAGATCATTAATTCAACAGATTTTGGTAATTAATAGCATAATTTGGGATTAAAACGAGTTTAATTAATTTATAGTGATTTTGGGGTTTCGTTAAAATTTAGATTGGAATTCTAAAAAAAATAAGTAATGATATTTATGAAAAGTGAGCTTAATTAATGTGACAACTAATTAAGGCAGCTGAGTTATTATTATGGACCCAAATTGACTTTATTTCGATTTACATGTAACCTAAGATACATACAAACCAAATCTTGCAAAGAAGAAAAATCTGGCTGATGTTTCCACTCTCGCATTTGACATTAAAACTCTACCATTTGCAATATGAAATCTCCAATTGAAACACGAAAAATCTTGAAGATCCTTTGGATGATTGCCTTAGTTTGACCAATCTGCTTGCATCCTAAAATAGGACGAGGAATATGAAAACGAAGTTGGTACGAACTAGCACGAATGACCCATGCTTGACTAATTTTAACCATAAGATCATAATCAGACGGTTGAAATTAAGTGGGTTTTGGCCCTTCTTGAAACTGCCCAACCCCACAAGAATTTAGGAAATCTGTGGGTGGCTGGCTAGCTTAGCAATATGGCTAGGGGAATCTTGATGATTATATTATAACAAAAACGCAATAAACACAATTATTTATTTCCTTTGACATGAGTAAGTCGTGAAATGGGCTACTGGTCCTCGAAATTTCGATAACTTTTGAAAAAATAGCAGTGATGAAGAGAAACGACGTCGTTTTTTTTTCATAACCGACCTTCATCATTTTCATGCAAAATTTCCTCCGCCCTGTATATATATGCACACCATCTCATGAAACAACTCAAACCAGAGAAAAAGTCCAAGAAATAACTTCTCTTTACCTCTTTCTTTAACGCTTTTGCTTACTCTTTCTTTGTTTGTTTTCACTGCTTTTGATTCACCAAAAAAGAAAATAAAAATGGCTGTGAGTTTTCAAATTCTAGCATATTTCACGGCTATATTCATTATAAGCCGTTTGGTGTCCATCATAGGGATATCAAAGCCCTGGATTAACATGTCACCTAAGCCCCTAGCCCTTGATATTTCAGGCAAACTCTCAGTTGACCCTTCAGCGATTGAATCAGCCTCTCAAGATTTCGGTCACATTGTAAAAGCCATTCCCGAAGCAGTTCTTTACCCTTCAACCCCTGAAGACATTGCCTCCCTTATAAAATTCAGCTACAAGAATTCAGTTCCCTTCAGCATAGCAGCCAAAGGGCACGGCCATTCTATCAGGGGCCAGGCAATGGCAAATAACGGGGTCGTGGTGGACATGACATCATTGAAGAAGCATCGAAATGGAACCGGGATCCAAGTCTCAAGTGACGGGCTTTACGCAGATGTTGGTGGCGAACAGCTTTGGATTGATGTGTTAAATACAACATTGGAACATGGACTTGCACCCGTTTCGTGGACCGATTATTTGTATCTAACCGTAGGTGGGACACTCTCCAATGCTGGGATTAGTGGGCAAACCTTTCGTTATGGTCCTCAGATCAGTAATGTTAATGAAATGGATGTCATCACAGGTATATGATTTTTCTTCTGTCTCTCCTTTTCACCATTTTTTTCCTCTCTGTTGAAAAAACACTGAACATGGACAAACCGGCCAGTGGTTGATCATTACTGTACATTTAAATTAAATGTAGTTATTTAATAATTTCTAGAAACGTATTCGTCCAGGGTCCCACGTTAGCACGCCAATGCACACAAGTTCACACGGCGGTCATGATCGGTCGATCACCTAGCCAGACGTTTCAAAAATTTCCAATCTGTTTACAATAATATATATTTAATGTCACTGTAATTTATTTGATATACTACTACATAAATATTTCATGTCAGGACATTTCCAACTTAGACTTAACCATACCATGTTTAAAGGGACAGCAAGAGTTTTTTCCCTCTTCCAATTATTTTATGTACTATGAGTTATATTTTTTTGGTCGGAACTTGGTATGTGATAATTATTTTGAACTTTGATTAATTTAAAATAAAATAAGACCTAAAAAAGAGACAAACTCTCTTAATGTTTACTTTTTTAATCACAAAATTTAAAATCAAAATCTTACTTAAAAGAAATCGAGTTCTTTTAATTACTCGAACCATCGAGCATTGGTGTACTACGAGTTATGTGACAACATATTTGAAATACTATATGTTGCTTGCTTGCGTTCAGTTATCTAGAAGGTCTACTTACGAGCTAGGTTTGTGTCTCTTCAATTCAGGAAAAGCTGATTTTCTGACTTGCTCCCCAAAGAAGAATTCAGAGCTCTTTTATGCTGTTCTCGGAGGTTTAGGCCAGTTTGGAATAATAACCAGAGCAAGAATTCCACTTGAGCCAGCACCAAAAGGGGTAAATATTACATCTCGAAACAACCTGTTTATACCAGCTCATTTTGCTTTGTATGTGTTCATCTTCTGTTGGCCGTTCTGTTCACATACAGGTAAAGTGGGTACGAATGCTGTACAATGATTTCTCTGCTTTTAGTAGAGACCAAGAGCTTTTAATCTCCATAAATGGAAGGAAAGACAAGAATGCACTAGATTATTTGGAAGGTTCACTTCTCATGGATCAAGGTTCTCCAGATAACTGGAGATCATCCTTTTTCCCACATGCAGATCACCCAAAAATAATCTCCTTGATAACCAAGCATCGCATCATCTACTGTCTTGAAGTTGTCAAGCATTATGATGATCAAACCGAAAACACGGCGGACAAGGTAAACGATCACATTTATCATTCTTATACAAATTAAAATATACCGTAAAATTTATATAATTTTATGCTGAATGATATATATAGGGTAATATGTGATTTGCCTATGTTTTTTCCTTAATAATTTCTTTTATAGGAGCTGCAACAGCTTTTGAAAGGTTTGAGCTACATGCCTGGATTTATGTTCGAAAAAGATGTCCTCTATGTAGAATTCTTGAATAGAGTCCGAAGTGGAGAACTGCAGCTTAAGTCACAAGGGTTATGGGATGTTCCACATCCATGGTTTAGTCTTTTTATACCCAAATCTCAGATAGCAGATTTCAATGATGGTGTTTTCAAGGGCATTGTCCTTGAACGAAACATTACTACAGGACCTCTTCTTGTTTACCCCATGGACAGAAAAAAGTAAGTGTTTTTCAATCAAAATAATTGATGATACTTTGATTTTCTTCATAACCAAAAGGCTAACATCATCATCATACCTTAAAATAATATTTTGATGTTGAATTAATGGCAGATGGGATGATAGGATGTCAGCTGTTATACCAGATGAAGAAATTTTCTACACAGTGGGATTTTTGCATTCAAGTGGGTTTGATGATTGGGAAGCTTTTGATGATCAAAATAAGGAAATAATGCAGTTTTGTGATAAGGCTGGCATTGGGGTTAAGCAGTATCTTCCTTATTACACTACCAAGGAAGAATGGGTTCATCACTTTGGCTCAAAATGGAAGACTTTTCAACAGAGAAAAGATCAGTTTGATCCAAAAATGTTACTGTCACCAGGACAGAGAATTTTCAATATCAACTAATTAGTCCTAATTTTTTTGTATTTCTAGGGATATTAATAGGAGAACAAAATAATATTACTACTATGGTACTTTCCTAATTTTATGCTTTATGAGTTTAGCATATATATTTTTCTCACAAGTTGACAAAATTGCTACAAAACTTCCAATTAGTCTCCATTTTATAATAGTATAATGCAACAAAAAACTTTTTTTTAAAAAATAAAGTATAATGCATCAATTAGAGCACAAAGATTATTAACCCTAAAAAGCACATATATTTCATGTGGAAGCATTTCTGTAAATTAATAAGATAGAATCTTATAATTAGAACCTATTTTTAATATTCTTAGAATAATCTCTAGAGTTTTCCTCACCCTTTATTAATTAGTTTCGTTGGTTTTATATTGATCCAGTGTCCCTTTTCATAAGAATAAAGATACCATATTCTTAACCTTTTTCTAAGCAATTTGTATTAGAATGTGCTGTTTAGATTCCAAGATATATTATGAGACAATTAACTTAAAAGTCGTCACTAATCTTTTTTATTTAAATGTAATTGATTATTTAATTAAATCTGTTTCGTTTAAAAAAAAATTATAAGGTTAACTTTTATTTTTTTAAAAGGTAAATTTAATATCTATGAAATCAAAATTATATCCGAAAGTACGATTACGCGTGAGAAAAGTTATAACACTTTCACAAAGCCCATTAAATGATGGTATCAAATCAATTTCATGTTATTCATTAAGTTTTAAAAAATCATACCAGATAATTAATTATTAAAAATTGATCTTAATTGACTCCAATACTTTTGACAGAAAATTAAAAAAATTTTCTCACCTCAAGAGTATACAAAAAAATTACTATTTATCTTGCAAGGATTCCGTCGTCGGATTATTTAACATTTTAAAAATTTTTAAAGAAAAATTAACACTTTAACTTTCTTCTAAGATTTCTTTTCTTATTTCAATTTTTTTAAAAAAATTAATACTTTTATTTAAGGAAAAATTGATACTTTTAACTTTTTTTTCAAATACATTTTTTTTAAATTGAGAAGATTTTTATTTAAGAAAAATTAATACTTTCAACTTTTTTTTAAAGCCATCTTTTCTTTTATTATTCTTTTTATTTAAAAAAAAGTAATACTTTCGACTTTTCTTTAAAACGTTTCTTTCAAAATATATTTTTTGAAAAATTTTTATCTTCTAAAAAAAATTGATATTTTTAACTATTCCTTTTTTATTATTATTTTTTATTTAAAAAAATTTGATATTTCAACTTTTTCTCAAAATATTTTTTGAAATATTTTTTATTTAAAAAAAATAATACTTCAACTTTACCATAAAACATTTTTCTGAAATATTTTGTTTTATTAAAGAAACATTAGTATTTCAAAATTCATTATTTTTTGTAATTTTTTTATTTATATACATACTTTAAAATTTCACTTAAAGGAAATAATAAATAAATAAATAAAAAGCAAAATAACAGAAAGAAGAAAAAAATACCATAAACAAATTGTGGCTCGGCTTAAAAAACAAATTTCGGCTTGGCTTCAGATACAGAGTTCAGCTCAGCTTGGCTAACGGCTCAGCGGCTTGAAATGGGAATAGGTCACACGCGGATCGGATCTTCCATAGGCAGACATGTGGATCCTTGAAACAGGTTAAAAAGAAACCAGTTATTTCATGTCCTTAAACGGTGTCGTTTCACCGATTTTATAAAGGCAAAAAAAATTCATTCTTCTTTCATTTTTTTTTTTTGCTTCTCTTTCTTCCTTTGAATTCTCTCATTCCCTCTCTAAAAGGTATTTCAGAAACCAAAATAAACTTCAAGAATGCAGGCCCGGCTTTAAGCCTTCTCCAAAAACTAGCACCGGAGCTTCAACCACGCTGCCGTCCACCGTCACAGTCAGGTACCGACTGACCATCGTTGAGGCCCTCATTTCACTCAAAAACTCATTTCAGCTTCCTCTTTCACATGGTGCCATTAGTTTTCCATGAAAATGCCTCAAACTCCGTAGATCAGGTTTTAAAGATCGCAGACTCATCCTCCTGACTTTCCCCTTTTGCTGCTTCTTTGGCCACTGTTTCATGATATGTTCTTCCTTTTTTCCTTGGCTGCTTTGTCTCGGATTTGGAGGCCCCAAAACCCCCTGTAGGAGTACCTACCCGAAACCCAGAAAAAGTTTCTTTGTTTTTAGTTTTCCTTTGGTTTTTGACTTTACCCTTTTTTGCTTGGCATTGGTAGGGATTATTGAGAATGGATAAGTGATTGTTGAAGATTTGATGATGGTAATGACAGGTTTTAGGTGTAGCTTGATGAACCTCGTCTATGGTGCGGCAGTGGTTCAATGGTGTGGGCTTAGGTGATTGTTCTTGCTCACTGGTTGTCTCTCTTTTTATGTAATTGTGGTATTTTCTAGGTTTGCAGGGAATTAAGCTAAGGTGGTTCTAGAGATTTAAGTGATTGTGTCTGTGACTAGTGAACTTGGAATTGACTATCGGTTGTTGGGTTTAGTAAAGTCAAGGCTATGTGAGTTTAATTAATGAAAAATTGGGTTTGGAATCTGTATTTGGGTTAATTGGGACTGTGTTTGAAATAGAGATTAGACTTGAGACAGTGAACTTGACTGGTTTTGAGTTGGAGTTCTGTTTGAAACTGGCTTTGGGGTCCGTATTGTAGGTCGTTGGCAATGATAGAGGTGGTAAAAAAGGGTAGGTTTATGGCTTTGGCGTAGGCAATGGCTGATTGGTTTCTGAAAATTTTATGGTGCTATAAGAATGGTTTTGGATTACTGTTGATAATGCCTGATGCGTGATTATTGATATGGGTCAAATTTGTGGTTTTTTAAATTAGGCTCAGTAAGTTGGTTTAGGTTAAGGGTGGATGGTAGGGAGGAAAAGCCAGCTGGTGAGGGTGGAGTGATGGGTGAAAATGATTGACTGTTTTTTTCTATGATTGTTTCTTTAATTTTTTGTAATCTATTTTTCTCCGCCTTTGCAATGTAATTGTTGTTGTTTAAATAAAGACTCAAGTCCCCATAGAATACAAGATCAAAATGTTATCCAGTTAATGAGATTTTCATCCCTTATCCTGTATAATTTCAATTTTGATCTCAACCAACTTATCTCATAATTCCAATTCAAATTCAAGCATAATGGTCTATCTCTTTGAAATAAAAGTAAAGCAACCAATTACAAAAATAGTAAATTCAAAACCAAATGGGCTAAACCTAAAGCCTAATTCAAACTAACTCGAGGTTTGAGAATAATCCAAATAATCTCGGATAAAGTAGGATGTTTGCAATTATCCTTTTTTGCATAGTTTATGTGAAACAGGAATTGTACAAAAACATGAACACCTAAAATATTTGAGTTTGGCTTCACAAAAAAATGTCAAAGATTCATAATTTGAAATATTCAAACATTTAGAAATGCAAGTTGAAACTCATATTCACAATTTGAGTTCAAAGAATCCTAATTTTGAAATTCAAATATTTGCAATTTAAAGATGCGCAAAGGTCAAAAATTTGTAAGACTTTTAGATTCGTAAGAACATAAATTTGCAAAAATAGAAGATTCGCAAGAATTGAAAATTTACAATAATTTCATATTCATAAAATTTAGCTTCGCAAAAATTTTCAAATTCATAATATTTTGATTTACAAGAGTTTGATTCTTAAGAACTTAGATTCACAAGCTTTCATATTCACAAAATTCAGTTTCATAAAAGTTTGATTCTCAAGAACTAATATTAACAAGAAATTTTCAGATTCGCAAAGAATTAAGCTTTGCAAGAGATTCAAGATTTGCAAAAATTTCAAAGATTTCCATTTGATTCAAGATTCGTAAAGATTCAAATTCACAAAGATTTAGGATTCAAAGATTTGCATTTAAAATTACAAGGCTCATATCCAACATTTAAAGATTCACATTCTAAAATTCTAAAGATTTACACTAAAAAATTAAAGTCTTTTTTTTTTTTAACTTCAAGGATTTACTTCCAAGATTTTAAAAATTCTCATTAAAAAATTTTAGTGTTTTACATATGATATTCCTCATTTAAAAACTTCAAGACCTTATCCAAAATTTCAAAACTTTTCATTTGAGTTCATTTGATAAATTTTAAAGTTTTACATTTAAATTCAAAGATTCATATTTGAAAATTTTAGAGATTCACAAAAATTTTCAAGATTCTCATTTAAAACTTAAATATTTTTATTTGAAAATTCTTAGAGATTAGTACCTGAAGGTTTTACAAATTATTCTCAATATTGAAAATGCTTTTTCAAAAGGCTTCACAACTTTTAAAATTTGGAATGTTTTCCTTGTAAAAAATTCTCATCATGAAAAATTTTCTTTATTCAATGATTCAAAAGTTTAAAATTTTCCTACTAAAGTTAAAATTTTATACAATAATGATGCAAATGCAATAATTCAGATTCTCATAGTTATGCATATGGCCATACTTTATACCATGATTCAAATATTCACTACATGATGCCAATGTATGTCCAAGCCATTATGCAAATGTAATTATCAAAACAAAGATTCAAATATTTACCGAACTATGTACATGTATTATTCAAACAACAACGTAATGCAAATGTCATTAGAATTTGTACCATAAAATTCTAATTGATTATGGTAATAAGGTTCTCAAAATTCCACAATCTCACATTTTCTTTTTAGCTTCCCAGCACTACCATATTCAGAATTAATTCACAAATTTAGTCAATTGATCCTTGGTCATGACTCATAGATTATATTGGTTGATTAATCACCATATTCACTAATTGGGCACCACATTTGCCTTTTTAAATTATTTTTTCAAGCTCCTTTCATCTTTTTTCATTTTTTTTTACCCTAATCATCTTGGATTTTTTTCAAAGGAATGCATGAATCTGTTACAAACATTGTCATTCATTCATTATCATTTCAATTCATGACAAATATAATGCAATCATATATTTTTTTGATTTATTCTGATGATGTAAAAATGAAAGAAGACAAGGTGAA